TTTCCTCTTTGCTGGACTGAGATGAGGACTGAGATGCCATAGGAAGTGAGAACATGAACTAGTAGTTGGGTAAACCTACTTCATATCATGGATGTACTGGAAAGAAAAAAAGAAAGATTCTAACTGTTAGCATTTAGTAATGCCCCCTTTCATACCAGGAAGATGATATTGCCTTAGCCTGCAGATAATTACTGTGATTGTGCAACTGAACTGTTTGAGACATTAAGGTGAAGTGTTAAATACTAATAATAGCAAGAACTATTATTATAGTAAGAACAACAGAATAGTTTGGAAGCACTTTTGTCAGCTGATGAAGCCCCAGGGACAGTGGCTGAAATCCTGCTGTGCAGATACAAAAATGGCATAACTTTTAGATGTAAATTATAATAAATTAAGAAATGTCTGTAAGCATTAGCTGTTGACAGAGTCATGTAACTCAACATGCAACAGATAATATCTATGGAGATTTTTTAATCTATTGCAATATGTGTCTAAAAGATATGCCGTTTGCACACAACAGAATTTCTGCCAATATTTCAAAATGGCTGTGACATAAGGGAAATGAAACAGAGACAGTGAACCATGTAAGATCTCTCTAACAGAACTGCATAGCACTATTCACAAAAAAGAGCTTGCAATTTCATTAGCTGGAAATTCTCAGTTCTTGTTCTGAGTACGTAAATTAGTACACATTCTTCTTATAGACATATTTGTCTATAAGTCAACCACAATGGAACAGAAAGATATGTAAGAAAAGCAGGAACTCACGGAAGGTAAGCAGAGCCACCTTGAAGCTTGGCACCATCCCAGAAGCAGTCCAGTGGGGTCACGATAACACAGGGAAAGAGCTTCTCGATCATCTGGCAGTGACAAGAAAAAAAATTACAAATAAAATACGCAAGCTCATTTTTAGTTCTCTTCAGATCCCTTCTCTCTTCCTTGATTTGCCTAAGTAATCATCTAATTTCATTGCAAGTCAGACTACTCTTTCTACTGTAACCAAAAACTTGACTCTCTTTCACTCTCTTGGAACAGAGAAATGCTTTGGGAACCAGAGAGCATAGTCCCACATACAAATCCCACAATCTGAAATCATTCATCACCATCTGAAATTCTGGAAGCTTGTTTTGGAGGTCTTCTTCTTGAGAACAGCAATCCACTTAACTCCAATCAATAATAAGCTTTTGTGGCCAAAAAAGGGTCAGTAGAGCAATATTTTACAATCCAGACAACTGACAAAACAGTCGAGAGTAAAATTGCTTCTCTCTTACTCTCCCAGCACAAGGCTCATAGCTAGCTCTTATCACAAATACATAGATGTGATTGCAGAAATTCTCAAGTGTCTGAACCCAGAATGATGCTTTTTGGCAGCATCTTTATAAAAATAAAACAAAGATTCCAACTTATCTCTACAGGACCCACCCACTTTTTAGCCAACTGGCATCTTCCCAACTATTTAACAAAGAGAATGTCCCCAGCTGATTCACCTTCTTTCCATAGGTACTACTGAAATCCCTGTTTGTTCTGTAGATGCATGCATTCCTTTGACAACTCACCCGTGCAATCATTCCATTCTCAATTATGGGGACACCTGACTTGTAGCATATTTTGTTGAGATCCCAAGACCTGAAAGAGAAAGCAGAGGCCATAAGAAAGTTAAAGGGTTCTCTACAGAGAGAGATGCTAGCAAATAATAATAAAACAACTGCCTATTGATGGCTAAAAGGAACATCCTTGTACAGAGGCAGTATACCTCTAAATAATATACAATGAACAAAAACATCAGGCAAAAGCTACAACCTTCAATGTCTTGCTTACAGGTACACAAAAACACCTAGTTGGTGACCACTGATAAATGCAGAATGCAAAGCTAAAATAAAATAAAAAATTACAAGTAAGCTGAGGGGGACTCAGTATTTTATTGTTTATTTAATTTATAGCACATCTTTACTCCAAAACTGGAACTCAAGACAGCTTACAACAAGATTAAAGTAAATATAAAAGTTATAAAATAAAAAAACAAGTGAATCGCAAGCAAGTTAAAAGCATTTAAATGAGATAGTACAACACTCATCAGAGGAAAGCTATTTATTCAGCAGGCAGTCTATCACCATAAGCATTGCCAAATAAAAAAGTCTTTGCTTTCCAGTAGAAAGGTGAGGGTCACCCCTCCCTCCCTCTCTCCAAAGGAACCTTCACAGACTGGAAGGAGCCATTGAGAAGGCCCTCTCTTGTGTCCCCCACCCACCCAACAGGCCTCTGAGGGTTGGAAGATCATACAAAGGAACTCCTCTGGAGGACGCATAGCTCAAAGACGCTCCTAATCTAACCCAGTAAGGACATTCTTGCTACTACTGTATGACAGATCTTCCACTTCAGACTTACTTTCCATAGAGTAAGACTTGCACTTTACTAGCAGCCAGAGCAGCTTCAAGGTGCATTTCCAAGGCTTCTGAGGTCAGGATATTTTCTCCCTCCTGTTTCGGAGTTTGTATCAGCATCTGAGATGTGTAGAGAGACTCTTCTCCTAGCTTTTCCTTTGTATATTGGAGCTCCTGGCTGACACGGCTGCCCTCTGTGGAGAATGAAAGAGACATCAGAGTTCATATACTGTACTTCTACATGTAACTGCCTTCCTGGACCTGAGGATACTTTCACATGATCACTTCCTGCAGTCTTATTCTTCAAGGTAATCAAGATGGTTAAAGGATGCATTTCCACACTCTTTGACTGGAAATTCTGTGTGTTACAAAGCAACTCTAAGTGAGCCTGGGAAGGAATAAACCAACACATTTGTTACCATGTCTTCTGGATGGTCACCTCATATTTTAGTGGGAGCAGTTTCAGTGAGCTCTTTAGTCTGGGAAATCAGTGCACTCACAATTTGCCCCCAAGGTGCTGATTAACGATATCCCTTTCGAGGGTGACCTAACTGAAGAGCTCCTATTGGAAAATAAAGCAGTTTTGGGTTTGGTTTCTCCTTTTGGGGTTTTCTATTGGCCCACCCTGCAGGACCACAATCAGTGTAGCTTCCCAAAGCATAACAGGAACCTCCACTATGATACAGCTTCCCTGGCAATGCTGTTCTCCAGCAACAAGGAAGCAAAACATAGGCCTGACCTGTCCTAGGCATCATCATTAGAGAGCTATGATTGAACCCTTAGTTGGCTACTTAGGATGTGATCAGATGGAGATTTAGCACACTGTTTAGTCCGCTATGGGGATGGGCTGCTTTGCTTTTTTTCCTGGCTATCACATGACGTAATCTCTGGCACAAACCAGCCCATCTCCAGAGCCCCAGGGCTTTTACTTTTTTGGTATGGGTAGGACAGCTCCATTTCTGTTTGTTTCTAACACATGTGATTGCTGGAAATGAACTAAAGCAAGCTTTTAACTGTCAAGGCTCCTTCCACTGTCAATCTGAAGGCAACTACTTCAGGATATTAGCAAATTAAATATTTCCTTTGTTCTGTGAAGGGGGGAAGGAAGTTTTTTTAAAAGCTGCATTAGGCAATTAAAAATTAGAAATTTATTTTGAAAAATTAAACTTCCTCTAATAAGTTGGAGGTGACAGGAGGGAGCCACAAGAGAGACTTTTTCCTCTTTTATTTGTGACTTTTAAAAAAAGGTCAGGTTGACTTGCTGCCAGTATATGGTGGAAGATTCGGCTGTGGGCAGGTTTCTCTTATTATTTTTATAAGCTATACAGTACATCAGCACTGCCCTCATATAGTCTATAGAACAGACAAAATATTTAATTTGTCAATATGCTGAAGTGCCTGCCTTCTTAAGCCATTTCACAACATGGACAATTGAAAGCAGAAGGAGCCAGGCCAAATAGGATCACTTGAGTGGGTATGCCATTTAGATGCAAAGATTACACCAAATTGCATACCATAGCTCCAGCTTGACCTGTAGTGACCCTATTTAGCTCACTCCACCCCACTCCAATGAGTCCATGTAGACAAGTCCTTAGTTAGGACAGATCAAAATACTGTACAAAACAGAAATATGTAGTTCTTGATCACCCGTGCCTTTTCCTTGAAATGATGTGGTTGGGCTTTTATTTTACAAAATGCAGCTGCAAAGAATTAGATTGACACCAGAACTATCATAGGAAAGGGATTCTGGGGATTTTTCTGCCAAAAACTATCACCCACCAAACTGTTTCTTCCACACACCATTAGTGAAACCCTGAGAAGTGGGAGGAAGCAGGAAGAAAGCAGTTTGAAAATACTGTATAGGATTTCTGAAGAGGGATTATGTTCCTCTCCCCAAACAAGACCTCCACTGTAGACTGTAACCTGTGTGGTTGCAACAGAGGACAGAAAGGAATACATATGAGAAGCTGCAGTCAACACAAAGCAGAACCTAGAAAGTTATTTTTAAAAGTACTTAGTTACACATATAGTTCCAACACCCTGGAAACTAGTTAGCTATTTAACTTTTAAAAAGCAACTCTTTGCTTTTTAAAATACAATTGTTCTTTAATAATCTTTTAATAAATTCTGCTGGTCTGTAGTACAAACACACTCTCCTCCATCCACCTCATCGTGTCCTCGATAGCCAGAAAAGAGCAGGAGGCAGCAACACAAGAGGCAGCATTTCAACCATGTAATATTCCTCTTTCACCCTTAAGTGAAGTCACACCCTAATAACTATAAAAGTAACTGAAAAGTTACAGCTCCAGTACATGCACACAGTTCGACTTTTTAGAAGCAATGTCAGCAACATGACCAACACTTGGAGTAAGCCAGCAGCACAGCACTGCTCTCTGGCAGTCACACTCCTTCATTAAATTCGTAAGTGAAGGGGGTTCTGATTGGCAAGGAATTCTTTTCAAGTCTGCATCAAAACTGCTATACAGAGAGAAGGACTCTGGTGCAGATTGCATGGAATGCCAAAGTTCTCTCCAGGCAGTGTTCATGTCTCCTGGGCCTTTCAGTCAGCCTGAAGAAACTGAGAGCACAGTTTCTGATACAATATTCCTCTCTGGCTGCACATCACAGTAGAACAGTGGATCCCAACCTCAGGTCCCCAGATGTTCTTTGACTATAACTCCCAGAAATCCTGACCAGCACAGGTAGTGTTAGCAACCAGTACTTCATATATGTTATATCAGAACCTCATCCTTGCCCCCTATCTATCAGTAGTGGTGAAAATTTCTGGGAGTTTTAGACCAAGTACACCTGGGTTGGGAACCACTGCAGATAATGCCATCTTTGAAGGTACTTTGTCTGTCATTAATCATCTTTAACTGGCAAATACCTCACCTCACATTTTTCTCACAAAGTTCTGAGGAACTCCATCTAGAAAAGTGCTTGTGGTGATCATCCTTGTGGCCCCTGTTTATTTGGCCCTCACAAAGGATCACACCCTTTTTCTCTTCCAGCTGCCACCAGGTATTCTCCTAATACCAATTATGTTATACACGTGTGCTGCCAAAACTAAGGGTTATTGAACATAGGAATCAGAGGTTTAATTAACAAATCTTCTTTTATTGTCAAGTACAGTGGTGCCTCATTTAACGGGCGCTCCGTTTAGTGACGAAACCACATAGCGACTAACTTTTTGCGATCGCATTGCGATGTTTCCTCTGGGGTTTTATCACTTTGCGATGATCGGTTCCCTATTTCGCTTACCGATCGTCGCAAAGTGATGATTTTTAAACAGCTGATTGGCGGTTCCAAAATGGCTGCCAGGTAAAAAAATGGCTGCCCGCTGTGTTTTCGCGCCGATTCCTCGCTTAAGAGGCAGCGAAAATGGCCGCCGTATGGAGGATCTTCACTTTAAGGTCAGTTTTTTTGCCCATAGGAAAGCATTAAACAGGTTTTAATGCATTTCTATGGGCTTTTTAAAATCGCATAGCAACGAAACCGCTTAGCAGTGATTTTTGCTGCATGGATTAACGTCGCTATGCGAGGCACCACTGTATATCATAAAGCTAAATCACGTATGAACTGTATCAGGTATTAACACGGATAGGATCGTGTAGGCAATCACTTTTATTCCAAACTGCTGTATACTTTCAATCAATATCTCTCGTATAGTGCTTATAATTTCATTCCTGCTTGTTCAATATTGTTTAACCTTCTCAATTCCCTCTCCTAACACTCCCAGCTCAATTCTCTAACCCTCTTCTCTCTTCTCAACCCTAACTGCCATTCCACATTTCCAACTGTCTCTCTAACTGCCCCTCCTGCCCTATCCTTGGCTCCTCCCCACTTGCCTCTGATGGACAGGCATTTCGCTACAGTGCTCTATAACTATTATTCAGACAGATAGAATTGTTTACAAATTCATTTATATTAATTCAATATTTGTCAAAGGACATGTTTACCTTACATGTATAAACCAGTTTTGTTGTCATAGTCTTTGAAAAGGATGACCTTATTAAACATTCAAAGTACCCTTACCAAAATGATGACAATTCCCCTGCTGCTTTGGGGATGCAGGGAGCCATGAACATTAAACCAATTTCAGGTTCATTGAAATCTGTATTGTCCATGTGCCCTCAATCAACCTTACAATAAGCATGTACTATTCCCATTTTACATGTGGGAACATTCAAATAAAGAGTTGGAACATTTGCAGAGGTCTGTCTTGAACCGTAGCTTTCTAGCCTCCATTACTATGTTCTGTCTTCTGATCAGGATGGAGGGGGCAGGAGAACCAGCCAATTGCTGAAGTATAGCAAGAGTCACAGCAAACTTTAGTTCCTGGGTGGTGACAATAACTGTCTCATTAGCATCAGTATCTAAAAGCCATCAGAGCTAAAAATAGTATTTACTAGGAGTCTAGTCCAGAAAATGCAGAGAGAAAGACACAGAGAGGGAAGTTAAGCACTGCTGACAGAGAATTCTTGGCAACCTTATCAACTACGATTCTCAGGAGTATTTAGAGGGCATGAAAGTTAAATGTCTACAAAGCCCAGGTAAATTTTTAATGTATACTTTTATTATGGCAGCAGCAATAACTACTGGAAAGGGAAGAATCAAAAATTACACTTCAGCAGCGGTCCCCAAGCTTTTTGGGACTGCTGACCTGTTGGGGGTGCGGGCTCCATGCGTGGGGGGGTGGGAGCACCTCCGCACTCGTGGGTGGGCATGTCACACTTGGGGACGGGTGTATCATGTTCACGCGCAGAGCGCAACATGCCCAGCCATGAGCGTGATACGTCCCTCCCCAAGTGCAACACTCCCCTCCGCAAGCATGACACACCCACTATGCGTGTGTACAGGGAGGCAGAGATCTGTTTCCGCGACCCAGTTCCGGGAAGCCCACGGACCATCATGGGGCCACGGACTGGGGGTTGGGGACCCCTGCACTACAGGACACTTGCACACTAGCAGACTCACTTCATCTTAAATGTATCAATTATTAATGTAGGTTTTAGAAGGAATAACTGAAAGGATGCAAACCATAAAAGCAGCCTTCAGTCTGTTTTTAATGCACATTATAGATGGCAATCCGATCATTTTAAAGGGAAGAATTTTGATCACTCCAGTTTTATTATCAAAGATTTCTTTTCTTGGAACACCATTAAATGATTCTATCCAACTGGTCTCTAGAGAT